GTTTGAAAACACACTGTTTCAAGTGTTTTTCTATTTCTCAGCACTCCTGAGGGAGTCAATGTGGATGGTTTAACATCATGTTTCTGTTTAAGAACTAAAAGACGATGAACAGAAAAATCTTAAAGACTAATGAAAAACAGCAGGGTTTTTCATTTCAGGATCTGAAAGAATTCCATAATAGGTTGAATGTGATACTATGATTTAAATTTAAATTGTGCTTCCCCTCTTTAACAAGCTAGGATATGATCTTGTGTAAAAGCCTATTAAGCATTATCACTTTAAATAGATGTCAGGTACTGAGTAGGAAATGATCTAAATTAGCATGATTAAATGCTTTATAATACTTTTGACTCTTTTAGACAGACAACTCAAATATATTCCATTATTTTTTAAAATCGAAAAGCATAGCCCTGCTGCCATCATAGGCTAAGCTTCTGGTGGACCTAAAGGCATACATAGATCCCTAATAAAAACTAGAAAAAAACAGAGGTGCAAAACAGGAAAGGATGGTAAGAAAGAAAAAGAGAAACAGCAGGTGTACATCAGAGGAATCAAAATGAGAGGTTCTTCATTCGAATCAGTATATTTTAGAATATTTTTATATGGTGACACAGAATGCATGTATTAGCAGAAGTTCCATGAAACTAAGCTCAGCACCTCCTATGACCTATCATGTACTAGTATTTTCTTATTTCCTTTAAAGAAGTGAAAAGCTGGTTGAGAAGAGTAGCAGTGCACCACCTGAAATCTGAACAAGTTGCTCCAGATAATGCTATTTTAGAAGTTAACAATGTTAAATCTTATTGACTATAACAATTTCCATACCTTGGGAAGATGCGAGAACGTAATTCCTTAACAAAAGTCCTAGTTCCCGCTTGCACTGGTTTGGAGCCATCATCAACTTCTGTGTAGTCATGCCTGTGCCAGTTCCTCCTCTTTTTCACTAATTTTTAGAAAGTTGAGGAAAGAAAAATTTTTGGTAATGATGCACTATGTACTTTCTAATATTCTAGTCTACATAATCAGAAATAACAACTGTAGGTATAAATGAAAACACTCAAGTTTTTAATGCATTTCTAGGCCACAGAGGTAAATTTTACTTAATCTAATACTGTAATAAATAATTAAATGTGGGTTTTTAAAGCCTGTTTATTTCATTCAAAATAATTTTTAAAATTAAATCTAATTCAAATACACACATTTAACCATATTATAACATTTCCAAATCGTTTAAAACTCTAGGTTTTATTAAAACATTGGGTCACTGGGGACTGGAGAGATGGCTCAGAGGTTAAGAGCACTGACTGCTCTTGCAGAGGACTGGGGTTCAATTCCCAGCACCCACATGGCGGCTATGAACTGTCCTTAACTCCAGTTTCAGGGGAATGCAAAGCCCTCTTCTGACCTCCGTGGCACTGCATGACACGGGTACACTCATATACAAACACATAAAATAAAATTTTAAAAAAGGAAAAAAAAACCAAACATTGGATCGTAATATGATTAACCAGATCATCCAAATTATCCTCTCAGATAGGGCATTCTTATTCTACATCAAAAATTCATTCTAACAGGCATAACACCATTCTCTTTTATATGAAAATTTAGTCCCCAAATAACCACATTTAAGCTGACACAAATAGCTAAAGTCAGAGTTTAAGCAAGACAAAGTATGATGACAAAACAAACAACTTTAAGGTTTCTTCTAACACTCAGATCTTATGATTCTTCAGCTCCAGAAGGTTCTAATCTAGAATAGTTTTAACATCAAAATCAGGAGACCTGGATTTGGTTCCTAGCTTATCCATCAACTTCCTCTGCAACCTTAGGCAAGTCACCTAATATCTCTGTATCCAGATTCCTCAAGGTTCCTCTGCAACCTTAGGCAAGTCACCTAATATCTCTGTATCCAGATTCCTCAAGGTGGGAATGAAGAAGATGGGTTAAAGTGCTGATTTTAAAACTACGTAAGGAGGGGCTGGAGATGGCACAGCAATTAAGAACACTGGCTACTCTTGCAGAGGGCTCCAGGTTCCATTCCCAGCACCTACATGGTAGCTAACAACCACCTGTAACTCCAGTTTCAGGAGATCCGACACCCTTTTCTGGCATCCATGGGCACTGCACACGAGTACATTTATATACATACAAGTAAAATACTCATACATATAAATTAAAAATAAATAAAAAAAATTTTTTGGTCTTTTTGAGACAGGGTCTCCCTGTAGCCCCTGCTGTCCTGGAACTCACTATGTAGACCAGGCTGGCCTTGAACTCACAGAGATCCACCTGCCTCTGCCTCCCGAGTGCTGGGATTAAAGGCGCGCGCCACCATGCATGGCAAAAATAAATAATTTTCAAAAAACTACATAAGGAATCCTTAACAAAGAAGACCCTCTATACCTCATTTCTCTTTCCACTAGTGTGGTTCCATCTGTAATTCTTTCCCATGATGCTAATATGAGTTCACTCTGTGAGTCTGTGTGCTCACTTTTCAGAAAGAATCTCACTATGTAGCTCAGGATAACCTGGACTCATGATCCTCCTGATTCCATCTCTAGGGAAAATTTCAGTTTTAGAAAATAATTTTTTTAAGTCTAAAATGTCCGTAATTCTAATTTTCTGGTATTGGACATCAGCAACTTACCTAAAAGTACATTAGAACAAGAGTAAGACAGACTGAACACAACAGTAACACGGTAAAGTAAGTGGTAAAGCAATGTGATGTAACTGTTATGTAAGAGGTTATAAACACATGCTGTAAAATTACTTCAAATTTTCTTTATGTTTGAACATTTTCATTAACAAAATGTTACGAAAACTTTATAATTTCAAACTCGAAAATAACCTTTTGTTATCTTTGAGGCAAAGTCTCATGTAGTCTAGGCTACATGATCTTGAACTTTTGATCTCATGCCACCACTTCCTACTTCTTTACCGCTGGGTATACAAGCATGGGGGGAGGGGTACGTATCCAGTTAAATGCAGGGAATCAGACCCAGGTCCTTCAGCATGCTCGCCAACTGAGCTGAAGTCCCCTCTCATAAACTGGAGCTGTGATTCTGCCTGCCCGAACCTGGAGCTGTGGTTCCCTCCTGTGAACCCGCAGCTGTGCCCCCTACCCCCCACCCCCCAGCTGGAGTTGTGGTCTCCTCCTGTGAGCCTGAAGCTGTGGTCCCCAATCATGATTGACAGTTCTACATTCCTCCAGTGACAGGTTGATGGTGGAGTGGACTGGAGTCTTGATTCCCAACAAACCCCCTCCCCTGAAGCCCAGGTTGTGCATACAGTGGCTTTGCTCTGTGTTGGACTTGTGCTGGGGACAAGGGTTTCCGTCATTTGCAGCTTCTAGTCTTGGAAGGACTGATTCTCAAGGATGGACTTCCCACCTCCCTTAATGGCCAGCTATGGCCTTGGTATTGGACTTTCCCATTCCCAGGTACCAAGAGGTTTTCCATCATTTTTCTATTACTCTTCTAGAGCCCCAGTATACCTTCACCTGTGCCCTACAGAAAATATAAAGTACTTAACTGAATTTCTAAAGATAAAAATCATAGTCTGGGATCTTAAATTTTTTTTTAAAGGATGTAACTGTTCTATTGGGCAAACAAGCTTTAAACACACAGTCACAACATTTTACAGAATTTTACTTAAGAGGAAGCTAGTAAAGGGATACTAGTACTAGTCACAGTGAACGGAGAGAACATTGTGTCTGGGTTGCATGTGACTGGGGAACGAACACAGAGAATATGTATCTAAATGATGAACTGTTTTCTGCTCTCAAATACTAATTGACCTTACTAAATGGGTATTATAATGCCTAAATAAAAGATTCCTGGGAAACCCTGAGCAGCAAAAGACCTTTAAGAGCAGAGGGAAAGGAATCAAAATGGATTATACAAGTTGGAGTAGATGGTGAAGGGTGGGGAAGGTGAGCCTTAAATCAAGACAGAGTATTGCACGATCAGAGGCGTTTTCCCTGAGTACTTAAAGTTGGATATTTTCCCAGAAGATGGCCAATGTCTGATTTTAAGTTCTTCAAGGAGAAGAGGAACTTGAAGGGCTAAGTAATAGGCAAGCTTTGCTCTGAAGCATCATTATTTGAGGGCCCCAATCCATTATCAACTATGTAACCAATTTAGCAAGTATGACAAGATTTTCTAAAGATGACATCGTATGGGGAAAATGGAGTACATTACATAAAGTAGTACAGTCTCTTAGTAACAATACTTCATACAAATAAATATTTAAATGATTTTACTTGGGGAATATATGCTTAAATTCTAAACGAAAATGGTTATAAACTTTAGTTCTGTTTCTCCTGAAAAAAATAACACTGTATTATTTACTTCTTCCAAGACTTATTCTTGACCAAAAATTATTTCAAGTTATATACAATACACCTCAGTGCTACACAGAGCAAGATCCAATGCAATGATTCTACCAATTTGGTGAACTTGAAGGTTCATGTTGCATAACTAGCCTATATTTCACATGAAACTATTCTTAGGCATGCCTACATCTTCAACGTCCAAGTATCTTAACAAAGAGATTATTAAAATTACTTCTATATCTAACGATGATCAATCGTTAGTTTCTTTTGACAAATTTGCATATAATAAAATTTCTATTTTAAAAAGTACTAAAGGGAAAAGTTGCACATTTAAAACACAGAGGTTATAGGTTATCTAGGTCCCATTCACAAGTTTATCAAGGTGGCTTCAGACAAAGGTTCCTTCTAGTTTTTTTTTTCCTAATAATTTGAGAATTTCATACATGGATATAAGGTGTTTTGATCAAATCCATGACTACTCTCTCCCCTCCAAATCCTCCCATATCTCCCCATCACTTTTTTCTGATAATTGCATATAATCTTTCTTCTTTTCTTTTATGGGGCTTTTTGCTATTCTAACATTCCCTCCTCTGAAGAAGTAACCCTAAAAATTTTTTAAGGATTAGATAAGAGCTCCCAAATACTTTAGACATTTTTTGGCCTTTGGAATGGAATATGTTGCTAAGAGGCCCAAGGACATTGTGAGTTTTAGCCAAGAAACTGGCTACTTTTCTTTGGGGTCTTTTTTCCCCTATCTGCCTAGCCAATTCCTACCTCCTATTCTTATCACACCATCCTCTTAAGAGGTTATCCAACTTGCAGATAGGGAATCAGGACGCAGACCACTCTGGCTTCTTCCATGCTGAACAGGGATGCAGGGTGAAGCAACTGGGGTCTATCTAAAAGACTCCCAAATTGTGTAATTCTTATCTCTATGGGGAAAAGAAAGTCTTTGAATCGTGACTAGGAGATGTGAAGGAGAAGTAAAGGCAAGAGTAATTAATTAGCATTACAAGTTCTAGATAGGGAACTACAAAAGTCAGAACAGGCCAATTTTGAAAAGTTCATATGAGAGTTCATTGGAAATTTCTTGACAAGGGCTTCCAAAAGCATCCCTCTATTGGGTTCCTCCTCATTTTTCTTTTGTCTTCCAAGGCTGGACTCTAGAGTGATGGATTCAGGATTTGCTTTCAGGTATTTTGATAGCTGTTGGTGTGAGAATCAGTGTCAGGTCCCTCTCAAAGGCTTTTAGATAGGTTGAGAAAATAAATTTAGCCATCATTTTAGAACAATAGCTGGTTGTCTCCTTTAGCTACAGGTGGGTACTACAGTATTGCAGACCAAGATTTGAAGTCTTACATCTGAGCAGCACTTTCTGATTAGGAACAAAATCATCAATGAGAAATGATTGTCTAAATAACTTTTTTTTTTGAGACAGGGTCTCCCTATAGCTCCAGCTGTCCTGGATCTCACTATGTAGACCAGGCTGGCCTAGAACTCATAGAGATCCACCTGCCTCTGCCTCCCAAGTTCTGGGATTAAAGGCGTGCGCCACCACGCCTGGCCTTAAATAACTTTTTATATGGACTTAAGCCTATGTCTAGGAAGTG